GCTATCACAATACTTTCATGTTTATGAGCCATTGCTATATGCCATACAAGATTTCCATCAGCACAAAGAGCCACTCATAACAATGAGAAATTTCAGGTAAATTTCCTGCATGGTATATTAACCCTACACACTCTTTTACAGACGAGGGCAATTTTTGCTAAATATTTATTCTTTCCCCAGTTTTATTGAGAAATAATTGTTATATATCATTGTATAAGTTTAAGGTGTACAGCATGATGGTCTAATTTACATATATTATAAATTTTTTTAATTAATGCATAAAATGCCCCACTTAAGTGAAACTTTAACAGCAAAAGTCCTAAATTACAGCAAGTGGTAATTTACTTAACTGTTAGTTTACAGAGAGCAGAATTAAATTTCAAAACTAGTGGTTAAAATAACAGGAAAAGATCATATGTCAGAAATTTAATGTTAGCTTTTTGATATCTGTAAAGATGTTATTATTTGCAGTTCAGAGAAGGTAAAGAGGAAAGGGTCTTTCCATTCCTATCAGGAAATTTGGGGGAAAGGTTTTCTTAAGTTTTTCCTGCCTGTATAGATCATACTTACCTAAGTTTTGTGGATGTGTGTATTTCCCATATTATTTCCCATCCCAGGCTGACCTTGTCCTTTTTCACAGGATGTGAGAAAATGCTCCCTAAGGGCACACATCACCAGTTTTCATAAAGGAAGGGAAGACACACTGAGATGCACGTAGGGCAGAGGTGGTGAAAAGTGCAAGTTATGTACTTATGATAAGAGGAGTAAGAATGGACACTAATTGTTAGCTACTGGCTACTGTTTATTCCACACAGACTGCCTTTTAGGTTTATAACTGCTGAGAGAGAGGCTGATGAGATCTACGTTGTGGAATAAAATAGGAGAGCAGACGTCCCAAGGGACTTTCAGCTGATAAGGGAGTTGAGAGCTGGGGATCATGACTACAAAAGTGTTGCAAGATTTCATAATCTTTGTAATGTCTTCTATATTTGATATTTTGCTATTTCCTGTAGGAATTAGGGACATAACTTAAAAAAATAAAATACATTTGTCTTGTAGAAAGATAGGGAAAAAAAACAAAAGAAAGAAAGGCAGTCAACATTCATTTTATATCTACTATGTGCCAGGCATTGAGTCAAATGCTTAAGTATGTCATTTAATTTTCAAACCCAATTAGGTAGTCATTTTACATATGAGGAAGCTGAATCAGAGAGGTTAAATATACATATAAATACACAAATAAAATAAACACAGTACATGGCACAGCCAGGATATGACTCCAAAGCCAGTGATTTCTCATTGTATAACACCTATATGAATCTCTAACACAAGTATGACCCACGCGATAGCTGAATGACTCTCCAAAATTGAGATTCTAATAGATGTACTTGTCAATTCTCCCTCATAGAATATCCCTTTTTGGGGGGAGGGGAATTTTAGGGTACATTTCGTATCCTTCTCAGAATAACTGTGCATTAAAAACCTTCATTTTAGCAAAGAAAGGTGTACTTTACTCTTTCTAGAAAGGATTTTTGACTTTCTGGTATCATCTGAGAAATGGTATTTGAGGATATAAAAAAACGGCACTTAAGAAATCAATAACTCTATATGGAAAAATAGACAAAGAAATCTTTCAGTATTAACCATGATATAGCTACTAAGTTACTACATCAGACAAAACTTGCCACTGATCAGTGTCACTTGTAACCATCTTATGGTTAATACTAAGATTCCCAATTTAATTCTATGGCTGTACAGAATAGACATAATTGTGGCTTTATAAAACCATTTCGACCAGTTCATTTTGGTATATCATTCTAAAGCATGAGTCAAAATAATCATATATTAACAGAAAAAGAAAAAGGAATTTTGATTCATCAGCAGGTAATAAAAGACAAGCCAAGAAAACAAGAGTGTGATAATTTCAAGGATTAAATTCTGATGGTAACATTGTGACTAAAAGTTTTCAACTGGACACCTTAGACTTTTGTAAGGAAAATATTACGATTTGAAATGGATTATATTAAAAAGTTTTTTTAATTGTAAGACAGTATATGAAAATATTCAGAAGAAAATAAGTTACATTTTATCAAGGTAGTAACTTTAAAAGTCCTATGGCTTTCTTAAATATATCTTACCTAAATCTAGATCAATATTTATTGAATACTCTTTTCTATGTAAGGCAAGGGTATATGCAAAGTATATATAATAAATATCTATCGAGTGAATGAAAACTGAATATGTTAAACCCATAAGCAGTTCAAATTTCTAATTCAAAATGACATTAAGGAACAATACTGTCCTGCAGGGGCACTCCATCTGCAATGGACCTCATCATATGACTGTCCTACTTGAAAACATTCCCATATATAGAAACCTATATATACCATATATAAAAACATTTATATATGGTAGTTCTCCATATAGTACCATATATAAAACTGAAACACAAAATCTGGTTGCAACCCACATTTATGGTGTTACTCAACTTCTCCATCACCATCCCAAGACTACTTGCTATTTCAAGGGTAGGTAATGCATTTTCAAACTTTTCTGGCTCCAACACTTACTGGCTGAGTGACCTTGAGCAAATTTTTTTTTCTCCCGCTGAGGAAGATTCACCCTGAGCTAACAGCCGTGCCAATCTTCCTCTATTTTTTAGTATGTGGGCTGCCAGCACAGCATGGCTGCCAACAGAGTGGTGTAGGTCCATGCCTGGGAACTGAACCCAGGCCACAGACGTGGTGTGTGCTTAACTTAACCACTAGGCCACTCGGGCTGGCCCTTGAGCAAATTTCTTAATCTTAGTTTCCTCAAATTTAAAATGAGGATTAAAAATAGCACCTAGAATATAAAGTCGTTGTGAGGATTAAATGAGTTAATACAGGTAATGCAATTAGAAAAATGTCTAGTATGAAATAAACCTTTACTGAATGTCACCTATTATTTTTATTATTTTCAATTGTTCTTTTCACTTCCTGGCATGTTGTTTTGCAATCACGGCAGAGTAAACTTCAATTCTTCTTTGAGATCTAATCCATAATAAGAAGCCAATCAAGCAGAAAATAGACGAAAGATTTGAGAATAGATATTTTACCAAAGTAAATAAAGTAAACCACTAATAAGCTCATGGAAAGATACTCAACCTCATTAGTCATTAAGTTAATGCAAATCAAAACCACGATGAGAGATTATTTCATACCCACTAGGATGGCTGTAATCAAAGAGACAGACAATAACAAAAGGTTGTGAAGACGTGCAGAAGTGAGAACCCATATACAATGGTGGTGGAAATGTAAAATGGTGCAGCCACTTTGGAAAACAGTTTGGCAGTTCCATAAAAAGCTAAACTAAATTTACCATAGACTCAGCAACTCAAGATAAATGAGAACACATTCATACAAAGACTTGCACATCAATGTTAATAGCAGCATTACTCATAATAGCCAAAAGTGGGTAACAACCTAAATGTCCATCAACTAGTGAAGAGATAAACAAAATGTAATATATTCATACAATGGAATACGACCCAGCAATAAAAAGGCACAAACTATTGATATTTTCTATGACATGAACGAACCTCAAAAACATTATGCTAAGCAAAAGAAGCAAGACATAAGGGACAACATATTGTATGATTCAACTTGTGTGAAATGTCTAGAAAAGGCAAATCTACAGAGAAAGAAAATAGATTAGGGGTTTCCTGGGGTAGCGGACTAGGAATTAACGGTAAATGGACATGAGGGATCTTATTGGGGTCATGAAACTGTTCTAAAACTTATATATGACGATGGTTGCACAATTTGGTAAATTTACTAAAAATCATTGAATAATACACTTGAAAAGATGAGCTATATGATATGTAAATGTGCTTCAATAAAATTGTAAAAGAACTGCACTACATACAGACGCATTAACTGTACCCATCACTGGACAGCAGTAGCATTCTATTCTATACAGCACTTGCCTTATTACATCTTACTTATTTGTATACATGTTTAGTGAGCTCATCTAGTTCAGGGTCTGTAGCCTAACATGGAGTAGGTATCCTCAGTAGCTATCTGAGACATTGGTACAGAGAGTAGGAGCTGAGGTCTGTTGAATTGAAATGTGCTTCAAAATGGGATAGGAACAATAGCAATTTCAGAAATACAACAGAAGATGGTATCGATTAGTCCTTCCTACAAGTCCTATATTCGCCTGGCAGAAACAGTGAGTTGATGGGCACTCACTGGAGCTTTCTACTCCACAACAGGCTTAGTGCTACCACCTCTAAGAGGAAACCAGAAAATCAAATAAACAATGGCTCCATTCTCACAGGGAAGGACAGTACTAATCCATACTGAGCAAAAGTAATTATTTGGGATTTTATTCTTCGTGGGCAGCAAGAATATTAATTTACAACAAATTCTTAATTTACAACAAAATAAAAATTACATGCAAACATATTTTGTAGTTAAAAACATTTTCAAAATGATTATTCTAAAGACTTTTTCAATGGTTGACAATCTGGGATGATTTTTATAAAAGTATAGGCATTTATCTTTTTTCATTAGGAAAAAATTAATTTCTCCCCACGTGCTGAACATTTCTTCTCAGAAGGCAGAGTAGCACGCAGAAAGAACATTAATATTGCAATCATGACTGTAATGTTTCATTAATTCATCTATGACTCTGGACAAGTCTCTTTTGCTTTCTAGGCTTCAGTTTCCCCTTCAATAAAGGCAAGATTAACTCTAAGGTTCTTTCCAGCACTGCTGTTGAGGAAAACTAAGGTGCTTCACACAAGATGAAAAATGAGAAGCTCAATCTTTTCACCATAATCAGGAAAGGAAATCAATTTGTAAGGGAAAATGGAGAGCCCTAGCTTATACATTCCGTGGCCCCTTATACAGGTGTGTATATAAATAAACTATCATCCCAATACCAAGTCCCACCCATTATTAACATGCAAACCCACACACCCCACCCCTCCACCCTTGACCCACACCCCCATATACCTCAGCTATGGTCATTCTCAGAGCACTGACAGGGGAGAGCTCAATATCCACCAGTTGGGCAGCTTTTAAACTCTGCCCAGTAAAGATTGCACAAGGACAGAAAACAGCATAGAGTTAGAACTTTAAGGCAAACAGGGACACACAGCTAAGAACATTTAGCACAGTGTCTAGAAACAGAGGAGGATATAGGGTTGTAGCTGGGCTTTGGACAAGTGAGATGAGAATCACTGTTACTCTGATTTTTCTGAGGAAAATGGGCAAAGATAAAATAGTCTCAAATTAGTCGCAATTTAAGTCTAGATTGGCAAACTTGTCCATATCCTGTATCTTCTGATGCTCTGCTTCATTCCTCCCAGGTTTCAAAGAAGTCAAATTATAGGACAATGTCACTGAGTCATTAAGCAAAACCTGACTGATAAAAAAGGGCACTAATTTAAAGGCAAGGATTATAATCTAGAGGGAAACATTTTGACCTACATTTCTTTACACAGTTGCTAACAGAGCTATTAAAATTTAGTAAGAAAAATAACAAAGATACCTACGGGGAAGCTTTCTATCAAATTGATACCATTAAATTCTGATATCATAAACCCCCCTGGTTTTGATTCTAGGTTTACCAACAGATTTTACCAATATAATCTGACTTCCCTCTTGGCTTGCCCACATTAAGAGAATGTGGTAGCATATCTTGGACATTCTAACATGCTAACACATAGATATGTGCTTTCTCACCTTGCCGAAGTTAAATATATTTTTTATGTTATCAAATTAGCATTTCAGTGCTTTTCTTAAAATTCAAAAATGGCAATAATTTTTCATAGAGTAAACCCAAGCATAAAAATGTATGATTAATGTCTGCTTTTTAAAAACTGCGAACTCAACTTAGCATTTGTGTTAATACTTTAACATTCTAAGAAATCTGAAAGGAATTATAGAGGGACTGTAATTTTTTAATAAAATCAATCAAACTATTTGCATGCACATATTCATTATTCTATTTATTAATTCTATTCTGGTTAAAATTTAACTACTAATTTCTTTGGAAGGATATGTATATAAAGAATTTCATGGATAAAAGTATAATTTATATTTGAATTGAAAATAAAATTTATTTAATATTTTTTCTTCTTTCCTCAGTTCAGTTTTCAGATTTTAGGTAGCTTGTCTTATAATTTAACCCTATTTAGCGGAAAGTTGTTAGCATAAAGATATTGTATGTGTTAGTCATATTTTAGAAAGAAGAAATGTCACAGTTTCTCTGCATCTTCACAGCTTTGTTATAAAATTAATGAGACATATTCAGATTTTTTGTCTGTCTATTCCAAGGATAATAGTCATTTGAGCACAAACGTAGCTTAACAACATTGAAATGAAGATCTGGAATTCCCTTACAGTATCACTGTCACAAGGCTGGAACTGGAAGGGCTGGGGTTTGTGAAACACAGCATTCTCTTGTAAAAACAGCTGAAGATTATAGTCTCGTACCACCTAAAGAGAAAAGAAAATATCCGTAAGTCTTTAAGAAGGTTAAAATGTACAGTGATTACATTTCAAAGTTTAAGATTTATTTTGCTGTTTTCCAAAAATGAGAAATCATCCAACACTATGTGGTCAAAAAGAAATGATAATTATACTTTTTTTTTTTAAATTTTAGATAACAGTTGTTACTCATGTGTCCTATTTTCTCAAGAATCTAAATTTGGAAAGTACTAGTTTAGAAACTAGCCCAGATTTTTGGACTAGACAATATGCAATATTTTCAGACAGCAAGAAGATAGCTATTACACAAAAAGCTATTCTTTTTACTAGGGGGAGGTGCAAACCGGGAAGCACATTAGTCTCTGATATCTCTCCCAGCTCTGAAGTTTCCCAGGCCTCTGAAAGTCTGTTTTATGGAGATTGCCATTCAGTAGGAAGCTGCCAGATAGCCTCACCCATAGCACAAAACAGTATTTTTACAGTATTTCTTAACACCTTTTCTAGAAGTTACATTCTAATTACCATCTTAAAGCATACCATGAAGACAGACTAGAAAGGAAGTTATATAGAAGCAAAATTCTGATACACAAAAAGTAGCAAAACACACAGTACAGAAAGACAGTTACCTGAAAAGAATTCATTGCATTATATACCCTGGGAAAGAATAGAAATCAGCAACATTTGATTGTGCAGAAACTCATTTTCTATTTTGCTACATTGCTTATCCTTGACTTATCTTTCATTTGAGGTGTATTACAGCTCATTAGCACCTCTGCCAGAGGATGGGCAGAAGAAGGAGAAAACCAAGTGTCAAGTAGCTCTGCGGCTCCACCACAGTGCTCCTGGGAGAGCAACTTATTGAGGAGACGGAGAGAGCAGGAGGTGTATTTCGCACTTTGTTTACCACTACAACCCCAGTTCTCTATTGCGCCCCTGCCCTTCCTTCAACAACCATTTATTAAGAGAGCTTACCAGGCCCAGTGTTAAATGCAGGGGAATATATAGATGAATAAAGTTAGTTAGAAACACAGTTAGTGTCTTCAAGGAATTTATAGTCTGGAAATCGGGAGAGCCAAACAGCTTCCACAATTAAAATACACTACAGAAGTATGTGGAGGGTACTAGGAGAGCACAAAAGAGGGTGATGTTTAATCCAGGTGGAAGGGATGGTATGGAGTGAGGAGCGGTAGGGGAAATTTGGTCAGGGGAGGCTGGCTGAATAAACATATTCCAAAGGGGAATGTGTTTTGTTCTTTTCTTGGATTCCAGTTTTAAGCTAGAATAGCTGTGAAAGCTCTTGATACAGCCCTGAGAGCCTCACTAATCACCAGGCAGAAAAAGCTAAGAGGATCATCCTTTAGGTTGCCAAATCTATCCTCTCAAGAACTACACATCTTTTTTCTTTTTTTGGAAGGGGGAAGTTTCAACCTTTACAAAATTTTAACTTTTCATTATGGAAAATTTCAAACACATATAAAAGTAGAGACGACAGAGTAATGAATCCCCATGTGCCCATCACCCAACTCCCAAAAACATCCCCTCGTGGCCAATCTTCTTTCATCTATAAACCCACCTACCCCTTCCACCCCCAATAATATTGAAGCAAGTTACAAACATAGCATTTCATCCATAAATATTATAGTATGATATCTAAAAGACAAGGACTTGTTTAAAAACATATCTATATTAAAATTTACAATAAATACAAAACAATCAGTAAGTGTTCAAATTTCCCTGATTGTTTCATATTTTTTCAAGTTTTTCAAATCAGGATCAAAATAAGGCCCCCACAGTGCAACTGGATGATGTTCCTTAGGTTTCTTTTCGTATACAAGTTGCTTCCTCGATCTCTTTTTTCTCTCCTTCCATTTTATTTGTTGAAGAAACTGGGTTTTTGTTCTGTAGAGTTTCCCACAGTCTGAATTTGGTCGACTGCATCCTGGTAGTATTTAGTTTCCTGTATTTGCTATAAATTGATGCTGATTGCATTCAGGTTTTTGTTGTTTTGTTTTGGCAAGGTGGTGTTTACTTCCATGAGAAGGCGAGACTCCGACTTGCCTCTTTTTATGCTATTAACAGCTGTAGTGGGCTGAATGGTGGCCCCCAAAGACATGCCCATGTCCTAATCCCCAGAACCTAAGAATATGACCTCATTTGGAAAAAGGGCCTTTACAGATGTAATTAAGGATTTTGAGTTAAAGAGACCATTCTGGATTCCCTGGGTGGGCCCTAAATCTAATGATAAGTGTCCTTATAAAAGACACACAGAAGAAAACACAGACAGAAGAGGAGCCAATGGGACCATGGAGGCACAGACTGGAGTGATGTGACCACAAGCCAAAGAACACGTGGAAGAGGCAAGGAGCTGATTCTCCCCTAAAGCCTTTGGCGAGAGCGCAGCCCTGCTGACCCCCCAATTTCTGACTTTTAGCCTCCAGAACTTGGAGGGAATAAATTTCTATTCTTTTAAGTCATCTAGTTTATGGCAATTTGTACAGCAGCCCTAGGAAACTAACAGAATAGGCCTATGATGATAATTGCCTAAATCCATTAGGGGTGGGAAAAACTAGAGATTTTCTCTTTTTTCTATCATTCTACCAAGGAACTCTATCAGTGCCTTTTCATTTACTAGCTAGAATACTTCTGTAAGAGAAACTGTCCAAGTCAATCATTTAGTGCTTTGAGGTACAGTTTGCATAAGGCAGGATAAATGCTTAATTCTTTCCCTTCATTACCTAATTTTCAAATTGAGTTGTTTCCCTAGCAACCACCAAGGAATGACCAGTTATAGCTTTAATAAATTATTATTATGAAGTCATAGATTTAAAAATATTTCATGTGTTTTAATCTACTGCGGTTATTACCATTATTGATGCTAAAATTATCCCATCTTTGGTTAGCAAAATCACATCCTGATTTTTGACATGACTAGTAGTTTTTTTGATAGTTTTTCAGTTTCCTTGCTTTCTATGAGGCATGACTAGCAGTTTTTTTTTTCATAGTTTTTTCAGTTTCCTTGTTTTCTATTATGACAAACTATTTAAGGTTTGTCTTATATATTTCGTGCCCCTGACCTACAATCAATTCTCTTTTCCAAAAAAGCCCTGCTTTTTGTTTTTATAGGCAGGGTAGGAGAAAGGAGAAAACAAAATCTGGACACTAGAGGTACTGGCTAGTCACTGGTCTTCTCCTTCTCAACAATTTATTTTGAAGGAAGTTGCATAGAGGTCCTGCGCACCTCCCAATGTTGGCATCCTGCAAAGTTATCAAAACCAGGAAATCGACACTGGTACAAAGCATAAAGCTTATTTAGATTTCACCAGTTACACACACACTCATTTGGGGTAGGTGTAGAGTCTATGAATTTTATCACATGTGTAGCTTCAGATATCCATCATCACAATCAAGACACTTAACCATCACCCCAAGGCTCCCTTGTGCTACTGTGTAACAGCTACATCCACTCTCCCCACCCCTAACTCCTGGCAACCACTAATCTGTTCTCTACCTCTGTAAATGTTATTTCGTAAATGGTATATAATGGAATCATGCAGTATGTATCTTTTTGAGATTGCCTTTTTTCACTCAGCATAATTCCCTTTAAATTAATCCAAGTTGTTGCATGTATCAACAGTTTGTTCCTTTTCATTGCTCAGTAGTATTCCATGGTAGGGACATACCACAGTTTATTTGATCCTTTACTCACTGAAGGTCATTTAAGCAGTTTCCAATTTTTGGCTACTATGAACACTGGTGTGCAAATTTCTGTGTGAAAATAAATTTTCATCTTCTCTGGGACATATGCCTAATCTCTCTCTCTTTAAAGGCATTACTTTAGTGTATGATTGACAGACAGCAAAGTTTTATTGATATGGTAAGTTTTAACGTATTTATACACCTGTAAAAATGTCACCACAATCAACATAATGAACATATTCCTCACTCTCGAAAGTTTCCTCATCCCCCTTGTAATTCTTCCCTCCAGTCTCTACCTGCTCCCCTCTGTCATTTCTTGTGACAACCGAGATCAGGCCTTAAATCTCATTACTGATGTATCCTTCAGCATCCGGCATAGTGACTTTGCCTAAAGCACCATTCAATAAATAGTTGTTGAAGGACACCTGTGTATCCAATTGCAATACTAGTGATATGAAATTTTCCCATCCATAAGCATTTATTTTTTACATTTACTTAGGTCTTCTTTAATTTCTGTCAGTTATGTTTTGTAGTTGTCAACGTACCAGTCTTTCACCCCCTTGGTTAAATTTATTCCTAGGTATTTTATTCTTCAGATGCCACAGCTCATTCATTGATGGAGTATAGAAACACAACTGACTTTTGTGTTTGATCTTGCAACTTTTGCTGAATTCATTTACTAGCTCTAGTACTTTTTTTGTGGATTCTGTAGAGTTTTCTACATATAATCACGTCACCTGCAAATACAGATAATTTTACTTCTTCCCTTTCAATTTGGACACTTCTATTTCTTCTTCCTGCCTAATTGCTCTGACTAGGACTTACAGTACAATGGTGACCAGCAGTGGTGAAAGTGAGCATCTTGAGATCAGGGGAGAAAGCCTTCAGTCTTTCCCCATGGAGTAGGATACTAGCTGTAGGTTTTTCATAAATGCTCTTTATCATGTTAAGGAAGTTCCCTTTTATCCCTAGTTTGCTGAATGTTTTTTTAATCATAAAAGAGTGTTAAATTTTGTCAAATACTTTTCTTGTGTCTTTTAAGACAATCACGTGGTTTTTCTTTTTATTTTATTGTTTACTTTTTTGGTTAGTCTTCAAGGCATTAAGAATGGCAATACTAGACAATTCAATTTCCAAAGAAATATAGAATAACACTGATATTTCCTGAATTGTTAAAAGAGCTACGTTCTTCATTGGTATTGAGTTTCCTTATGCAGACAGAAAACAAGCACACAGAAAGAAACCATAAAGGCCAGGAGAACTACCTTTGGAGTTACAATCCTACAGAAAGTGTCTATGGCAACATCTGCTTCAGTTACATATACAAAGAATTTCATAAAATATTAAGGAGAAGAGCAAGCTTCATAAATAATTAAAATCAAACAAAAGCTCCTAGGGCTGGCTGTTTTCCTTCAGGGGATGAAAGATAGAGAGAGCACTGTAACATTTACAGTGTGTCAGTAGGGATTACCCCCCAATATCTTTGGCTATGTGGGAAAAAATGGATCCCCCCAACCAAAAGACAAAGTAATAACGCAGTAGAATGAAAACGTAAGGGGTTTCAAATTTCTTTTTGGGTGATCAGATCACTGGGTTGCTTTTAGCGTATAACAAGAGCAGCATAACAAGCTCTTTGTAACAGAAAAGCACATGGCATACAGTTTGTAGCTGTGAGCTCCTCTGGTCCTTGGAACAAAAGGGCACATCTCCCAGCTACACCATTCTTATTAAATTTTTATTATTACCACTTTCAATCTAAATGTAAGAGCATCTCATTTATTCCTCATCCCTGGGGAGGAAGATACTCATATGAGTAAATGCAGAGGAAAATGAAAGCTTATCTGTGTCCAAATCAGTTTATACATTTTTAATTCAATTCTATAAAAATACATAAGCTGAAGAACTAATATAGTATAGCAGTAGAGCACGGAAAACACTATGTGTGAGTGTGTGACTCAGGCAAGCCACATCAACTTCCTGAGTTTTTTCCTCTCTATAAAATAAGCATGATAATACCAGAGGATATGCTAAAAACTTCCAGAAAATTGTTAAGTGTTTTGTGTAAAATATTAGTTATTTTCTAAGCCTATACCTATACCTGTTTTATAAACTAAAAGCGGTGTATCCAACCTAACTTATTCTTGGAAAAAGAGATTTTCAAAAATTTTGTTAGAGGGGAACCTCTCTGATAAAATTAGAATGAATATCATACAATACAATTTCTAATAAAATTAAAAATGAAATATGCTACCCCACTACATACTCCCATTGAATGGAACCTGGAAAAACTCACTTTAAGTAATTCATGGGTTAACAAGGGGGAAAAATGTAGAAACAGCAAAAAAGCCTGACATATCACAGAATGCACTTAAAGTAGAAGGAGAAATTTTTTGCCTTAAATGGATTTACTTGAAATAAGAAAGACTGAAAACATAGGGCCTAACAGAAAAAGTAGCCTGAAAAAGAAGAACATAAATTGTAATAAAGTAAAAGAAATAATGAATATCAAAGCAAAGATTAAGGAAACAGAAAAGAACAACATTGAGAAGTACAGCAAAAGCTTGTCTTGGAAAAGAGTAATAAAATAGACGGGTAACTCTGATCAAAATAAGAGACATTAGAAACAAAAAGGGAGACAATTACGTATGGAGGCAAACAAGTTTATACACAAATTTATGCCATTAAATTTGATAAATGAAATGGACAATTGTCTAATAAAATATGCTACCAAAATGTATTAAAAACAAAACAAAAAACCTGAATGGATCAATAAATATAAATAATTTGGTCACTAGTCAAAAATCAACTATTCCATGAAAGGAATAAAGCCAAGATGCTTTTATAGGCCTTTCCCCACAACATTCTCTTATGGAAAACTTCCAAGATACACACATCAAAATAAAAACAATTGTATAGAAACACCCATATATCCACTACCTAGATTCTTCAATTAACATTTTTCTATATTTGCTTTCACATAACTATCCATCTATCCATCCATCCTTCTTTCTATACATCAATCCTTTTATGTCTTTTATTGGATCCTGGGGGCTAAAAATATAGGAAAATACAAATATGACAGGATTTCAAAGCACCAGACTAGTGATCTTTATATTTCTGTATCAACTTAACATTTTAAATGTTTTTCTAAAAACAGAACTGGAGGTATGGACGGCTGAAAACAAGAACAAGCATATAAGGAGGAGCTCAGAAGCAGGGTCTGTGCCCCTTTTCTCTCCTGTCTTTGGACGCTGTCTTGTGAGATGGACACCCTGATCCCCTTCCAAACTATTTCCTAGGGTATTAGTCAGTTCCCGCTCTCTCTGCCAAAAAAGAGAACTGAACTGGATCTTTTAAAACAGCAGTTATAAAATGAATATATTCTTACAAATGCATGCATTCAGTCAGGAAATATTTACTATGCACTGAATTTACCAGAAGGAAAATAACATTTACTAATCACAGGAACAATTTATCTTCCAAAGGACAGTTTCTCCACTGCAAAAAATTTTAATCTGTCAGATCCTGAAGAAAAGCAACTTCATTTATTTTCTCCGTACACAGTGTGACATGCCAGTAAAGATGATGGATTTCAACAGTTTTGAATGAAAAGATTACTACTAAAGAATGACAGCATAGAAGGTAAGGTTAATTTTTTAAAAACATTATACCATTCATTTTCTTTCGATTATAAAATGCTACTGTCCCCTTTGTACCCCCTTATTACTCTTTGCACTGACACCTGACCTTGTTGTTCCCTCATATGAGTGCCTTCAAAATCTGAGTGGAAGATAAAATTCTTTAAACCATTCTCTCAAAAGCAACGAGCATGACAGTGGACTGGTGTCCTGAGCTAGCCTGTGTCATCACCTCCCTCTTGCCAACTCATCAAGGAGAACAGAACTTTGTTAGAAGGAATACAGTTTCCAGGAAACTTGTCCTTTAAAGCATTCTCCTAATGTCACTGGTACTTTCATTTTGTTTGTATGCAAAAACATTTTAGATTCTAAAATGGATAACATTACATATTGTACTAAGGTAACTTACCTTGCTGGAGGTTTCTAATAAAAACTGGAATGTGTTCTGCACAGCTTGGCATGTCTCTAGCTCAGTCCGGCTGAAGGCTATTAAATAATCCTTGAGGTGATCATACACATTTCCATCAAGAGCCTGTAAAAGAGGAGTAAACAAACACAAAGAAATTATAAGGCTTTGACATATAATATCTATTGCATACAAGGTAAGTTCAGTTTAAAATCTATTAATAATGGACAAAAGATACAGTTTGTTTTGTAAGAGTAAACATATACCTTAAACAATCACCTGGGAAAATGTTGAATCTTTTTAACAAATAGGAACTGAAAAAGGTAAAGGTAACCAATATTGAAAAAAGCTGTCGGAATAGGACAAAACTTGGAGACAAAATGGTTGAATTTTGATCTTTGCTCATCTGCTTATTAGCTGTGTCAACTTCTGTAATCACTTTATAACAGAGTAGGTGTGGGAGTTAAAAACATAGAATAACAAAATAAACTACAACAATAAAAGTTACCATTTTAACTATTTTAAAGAGTACAATTCAGTGGCTTTTAGCACCTTCACAGTGTTGTACAACCATCACTACTATCTAATTCCAGGACATCTGCATCACCCCAAAAAGAAATCTCACACCCATTCAGCACTCATTCCCATTCTTCCTTTGCCCCAGCCTCTGGCAACCATAATTTACTTTCTATCCCTATGGCTTTGCCTCTTCTGGACATTTCATATAAATGGAATCATATAACATGTGGCCTTTTGTGCCTGCCTCTGTTACTTAGCATAATGTTTTCAAGGTTCATCAATATATTAGTACTTTATTTCTTTTTATGGCTGAATAATATTCCATTGTATCAATATACCATATTTTATCTATCCAATCATCAGTTGATGGACATTTGGGTTGTTTCTACTTTGTGGCTATTATGGATAATGCTACTACGAACATTTGTGTTTTTGTTTGAACACCTGTTTCCAATTCTCTTGGGTATATACATAGTAAAGGAATTGCTGGGTTCTATGGTAAGTCTGTGTCTAACCATTTTTCTTTTTTTGGTGAGGAAGGTAGGCCCTGAGCTAACATCCATGCCCATCTTCCTCTACTTTATATGTGAGAAGCCTGCCACAGCATGGCTTGCCAAGCGGTGCCATGTCCGCACCCAGGATCCGAACCAGCAAACCCAGGGCCGCAGAAGCAGAATGTGTGAACTTAACCGCCGCACCACTGGGCTGGCCCCCTTCACTCATCTTTTAATTGGGTTGTTTTACTTTTTGTTGTTGAGTTGTAAGCATTCTTTATATATTTGGATACTATTTATGTATTTGGATATATATATTTTATCAGATATATGATTTTCAAACATATTCTCCCATTTTGTGGGCTTTTTCACTTTCTCAATAGTGTCCTTTGACACAGAAGTTTTTAATTTTGATGAAGTCTAATTTAGCTATGTTTTCTTTTGTTGCTTGTGTTTTGCTGTGATATCTAAGAATTCTAAATGGCGGTTTTACAGTAAAAAGTTCTCCATATATCTCATGTTTGGCTATTCCATTAAATTTTTACTATAAAACTGATTTTTTAGAAATAACAGAGTCTGTCCCCAAAGCATTGAGTAATCAAGCTGCACATTCTGTAGTGCTTTAACCAGCAGATGGCGCCATCAAGTACTTTAAACACGGGCCGTGCAAATTCCTTAAGATTCCTTTCCATTGTAACATGTAGTTATGTAACATCCCCAGAGAGACTGCTGGTGTTAAGTCTGAATAAAAATTCCTCTTAAGACATGTTTTTCATGAACTTGTTAAAAAAGAAACAGGACTTCTTCTGATATGAGATTTTTGCCTTAGAAATGCTTTTGCAGATTGTTGAAACCGTGTGTTTGCAAGAAACCAATGGAGTACTTTATTTAAACACAGCAAATAGCAACATAGGCATCATGAGTATCCCACTCTCTGAGTTTCTGATTCAGTAGATTGGGGGGTGGGGCCTGAGAATTTCTTTTCTTTTCTTTTTTTTTTGAGGAAGATTAGCCCTGAGCTAACTGCTGCCAATCCTCTTTTTGCTGAGGAAGACTGGCCCTAAGCTAACATCATGCCCATCTTCCTCTACTTTATACGTGGGATGCCTACCACAGCATGGCTTTTGCCAAGTGGTGCCATGCCTGCACCCAGGATCTGAACCGGCGAACCCCGGGCTGCCGAAGTGGAACATGCGCACTTAACCGGCCCCTCTATTTTTTATCAACTTGCTGCTGGTCTGGGGACCACACTTTGAGTACCACTAGACTAAAGAGTCATTTTAGCTGATTAGGTTGATTAAGTGCATTTATGTAGACTTAGATCCTGCTGACCCTGTAAAAGTAGCTGGAGGCGGGAAGTCTACCATCCTCAGTAGCCTCAACAGCACCAACATAGCAGGTAGGCAGATCAGCAGCTGTTTTCAACTGACAATCATGCTCTGCTTCAGAATTATTGAGGCAGCATGATACAGCATGGGAAAGAACTTGAGTTTTGAGATAAGCTGGATGTGGGTTAGAATCTCAGAACTCTTACTTACTTCATCATTTTGATGATTTTCTCACTTGTAAACAGGGAGTAGGAAAACCACATACTCCAAGGGACACTGTGAAGATTAAATAAGGTAATGGAAGTGGCACAATGTTAGTCTCCTTTCTTGCCTTGCTTAAAAATCTTCAACGGATTGGCCACATACTGATAATTGTTAAAGCTAGGTAACAAGTACATGTGGGGCATTATACTACTCTTCTTACTTCAGTGTATGCTGGAAATTTTCCATAAAACTGTAAAAAGAAAACTTGAATATCAGAACAGAAAAATAAAGTGATGCCACAAATTTTTTTTTTCCCAATACTTTCCCACTGGCATATTTTGAAAAGTCAAATGGTTACAGTGATATATTTTGAAATGTCAAAATCCTTTAGCTGATATCTAAGGTCCTTTATCATCTGGTCCCAGACTACCTCTCATTAGCGCCACCTCGCATCACTGTCGTCTGCACTGTACTCTACACCCCAACCAGACTGAGCCATTTTGGAAAATGCCATTCACTTAGTCTCTTAGCCTGGAACGTCCTGCCCCCTCTTCTCTCCCAGTCAGACAGTAATAATGATGGCTAACACAGGCAACTAACATTTACTAATGGCTTACCATGTTCCAAATGCTTTACAAAACTGACAACCAGTTCCTCCATAGTGATTCCACAATCTTCTGTATGCTGTATGGGTATTACTACAAGGCATGGATTGAGTCCTAGTCAGGCACAGTGCCTGGCAGACAGCGGATGCTCAAAAATATGTAAAGAATATATAAATGGTTGCTCTACTCTGGAGTTTAACACAGCAACAAATATGCACTGAATGAGTTGGCTGACAGGCAAGTTACACCCAAGACATTCCAGGTAAGAGAGATGTTCTATTAGACATCATGTACCAAACACAGAAAAGGCTTCAGTAACCCAAGGGAGGCTTCATGAAACTACATTAGGTGGGAGGTGGGCCACGTGGTTGGAAGCCTCTTCCAGCAGACAGAGATTAACCTTAAAATATTTCTTTCACCCTATTCAACACCCAGAATCTCCTGAATTTTAATTATCACCTTTGCAGGGGGGCTGTATTCATTAACCTGCACACGTATCAATTTTTCTGGTGGGTAAGAATGAGATAGCTGGAGGCCTTCTGGCCCAGGTGCATTATTGCCAGTGTGCAGAGTTAATGCAGGAGGTATGAAAATTAAGAAATGATTGGAATTCAAAGCACAGGAAGTGGATGATTATCCTATGATTGGCTCCAGCCCCATGCCTCAAGTTAACTGCAGTCGTTTGAACCAGTGATGGTGCCTAGAGATGAAGTTCAAAGCAATTCTGGGTAGAACTGTCTCAATATGGTTTGTGATTAGAACGTAGAATACATAAATATTTATATGGACTTTGACTAAAAAGCCAATAATTAGAAAATAAGTTGTCCCCCCACACAGAAAAAAATACTGGGAACCAAAGAAGAGAGCTTGAAAATGCTTTTTACAAACTCCTGCATCACAGTACTTATCACACAAAGTACTTATCATTGTCTATCATAGCACTTAGTAGCTGTCTCATCTAGATTACTGCAGCAATCTCCTATTGCTCTGCAACCAGCTGTCCCTCCTGCCAACCCATTTCCACACTGCAGTTAGGATGTTTCTAAATTGCATACTGAAACCATTTATATGTACATACATATATATGTCTGATTTCTCCAAGGGACCATCAGTTCCTTGAGAGCAGGCAGCACTTGCTTCTTCCCTTTATCTCTAACCTTAGCAGAGAAAGCCTGCAGTAAATGATCACTGAAATGAACGGAACCAAGAAAGGCGGGAGCTACAAAAGCAGGCCCCAACTGCACGAGAGGGAAGGCACTGAAGAAACATTGAGAGAAAATGAGAGAATCAGGCATTTAATTTATCCTAATTGGGTCAGTCTTACTCCAGTAAAAAATACATAATTATTTAACTTAGATTTTGACCAGACACTATTCCCCTCCTCTGACTTTCACACCTTTGTATCAAACTGCCTCTTAGACCGAACCATTCTCTTCTCCAACTGCTCTTCTGCAGCTGGGAGGAAGTTTCTCAATTGCATATTTTACTTGACTGCTCAACAATGTTCACTGACTACCTGTTACATTTAGGATAAAGAAAAACAAAATAAAATTCATGATTTCGTGACTGTAGGATCTGGACTTAGCTGACCTCTCCAGCTTCTTCACTCATTACTCCTATTCTCCTTCCACAGTACACTGTCCCCCGACGCACATCTTTTGTTTCCTCCAGTATTTCTCTCTTGCCTCTGAGCTTTCACACAGGCTTTCCCTCTTTCTTGACTACTCTCTCCCCTCTCCTTCTTGGTCTGGCTAACTCGTACTCATCCTTAAGATCTTCTCTTAATCATTATCTATTCTGGACCTCCCTCTTGTCTTTTGCTTCATACCTCCGAATCATGAAATATAATCTAGCACTGGTGATGCCTATTTGTCTGTCTCTCCTTTTGGTTTGTTAAGTTCCTTGAAGGGAGGGACCATGTCTGTATGTTTACCACTGTGTCTTCTGTGCTGAGTTACAGGGTTTGCTATACTGGT